TTTTTTTTTTGGGGGGGGATATTGATATCCCCAACACCTGGCAACATATTCCGATTTTTCAAGACATGATTCACAGAACAGAGTAATGTGACGAACACTCCATCGAAAACCGTCGATCAATAGAATACTTTTACCCAGGTATGACGAGTAGGCAAACTGATATAAATCCTTATTAAGACAGTAAAATACCCATGTTATCCTCAAATCAATCTTACATTTCGTATGTTCGACATGATTTACGAATCGTCCGTCATCAGAGGCTGCAGAAAACGACTTATTTTTTAGGGCAAAGGTAAGGTGCGAAGTCAGTTGCATCAGGTTAGGGTTGAAGGTAAGTCACAGAACTGAAACGGTCGGATAACGGTGATGGAAGTAGTACACGAAGTAAAAATCGAAACCTGAAACTGGGCTGAATGATAACCTGTCTCAAGTGACTGTCGTTGTTTCGAAGGTTAGTACTGCACAGAAACAGTCTGTTGTTAGCACATAACTCAAGTAGGCACTCGCCATTGTCCGTAGGTCTCCACTCCAGTTCTAGACGATCACCCAAATGGCCTTAGCAGCATTAAGTCTACCTTCTTCACTGCGCATTCGTACACCAGAGAAAAATCGGCGTTGGACGTTGATGTTATGCTGTTGGTGATGACGGCTTGTGAATTCATATATCCCTCAACCACAACAATATTTAAACTCCTGGCCTGCCGCAACAAGACGCTCAGACAATCATAAAAATTGTCTTTGAGAGTATTAGATCTGCAATCTGCTGGGGTTTAACTAGACACGACGATCATACAGCTATTATCAGCGCCTTGACGGGGCGTCGCTACTGCAGAGGCAACTATCAACGAGCAACCCAAGCAGAACCAGCCGCAGTGGTTTCCGGATCAACAGAGGTGCGCAACCGGAGGTAAGCGGAAACCGATAGGGTTAGTCCAACAAGCGAACTTGGTTGTTGAATCCTTGTTTCGGACAAATAGCGCAGAAAGCGAGTCCAGCGCACATGAATGAACAGTAGTGATTTGTCCAGTTTGTTTTACAGCGCGTCTGGATTCGAAGTGTCTGTGGTTGCTGTGTCCGAGCTAAAGGCAATGGGTGATGAACAGATCTGTCAGCCCTTTAGAATGAGCCCACGGAGATGTCGCTGGCAGGGTGGTGTGGGGCGTGGAAGAACGGATTTGTAAGAAAGAAAGGAGTCGTCAGCAGCAGTCTATTTCCGCTAACCCGTTTAGCTGTGTGCAGCAAGTAAGTCAACCCGGCTGATGGCGCCACCCGACGGCTGATATGGCCTGAGATCATTCGAAAATGTGCAACTCATGGTTGTATGTGATCTGCGATACTGCCAGTGTCCGACCTAGACAGCAGGACGGCTAGCATCCCTTCGCTCAGAAGCCTAACCGCAAGGCAACTTTGGTGGTTGGCGCAATACCGTCACTACTGCCTGAATTTTTAAGGAGAAATTCGTCACAAACTTTCCAACCCCCAGTCTGGAAGATCAGGAGACTGTTAGTCAGTCTTACCAATTGACCAGCAGGTATGAGAAACTGTGAGTGTCACACGTACACTCTCCAGTATAGCCTAAGGGGTTACGGAGGTGTACAAGCCGTCACACCGCGGAGACAGACCAAGGTTCACGTACTCATGTTTGTGGATGCCTCTATTGTTTGGACATACAGTGATGAACTGCTGTGCCTTGCCGAGGAGTTTGCCGCAGCTACCACGAAATTCCTCCTGGGATGAACGCGAAAAAGACTTTCGTTCTGCACTAGTCTGCGCCTAGTAAGTCCTCAATACTGCTCCACACACCAAGAATAAGGAGTTTGTGGACTACTGCACGGACATCTAGCCGGGAAACACACTGTCTTAACTTGACGATCAAGAGAGATCCTAAGTTGTCAACGCTAGCTTGGCTTGTAGCAAACTTGTGTGAGGGAGTGGGGATACTTGAGTGGAGACCAGGCTACCCGTCTGCAAGACATGTTCTGTTTATTCTCTTATGCGGCATTGAGTACCATTTGCATACACTGCCTGGAGCGCATACTTAAAGTTCACTGGACTGAACGAGTATCGGATACGGAGATCCGAAAGCACTGTGCTGTGTGCCGTGTTTACCAAATCGTCTACGGTGGCTGGGGCGTCCGTCAAATGAACGGAAACAGGATCACCGTCAGAGATAGCAGCATCAGTGTTGACAAATATTTCACCGCCATACAACCACAATTTGTTTAGCTATATTTAATGCTTGAAGATGAAAAGAGAGGAGAGGGGATGTGGCATAGACCTGGTGCTAGCCTACGGTAACCATTCTGTCTACACACCCCAAAACGTTCTTTCCGACAACCCGGGTAGAACGCCAATGACACGGATGAGCGGCCAGCGCTGGGAATCACGGGAACTCAAATTTCGGAAGGTGTACCGCACGAACAACATCCAAAATATTCTTCACTTCTCCCATATCCTTATGCCAGCTCGGAGTTCGCGCGATTCTGAAGCAGTCACGGACAACGGTACACGCCTCGGTAGGCGATCCTTCGGCACGCGTAACACTCGGCTATAGTGTTTTGCTGCACAGTCGAATACGCGTTTCAGAATTTTGTCGTTACGAATTTGGCAACGTCGTCCGATACCAGTTACACTTCTGAAACCTTGACGGCAAAAAACCTGAAGACACCTTCGATCATTGTTGTATATTTGCTCTGTTTTTCAAAGCGTTTCATCGTTCCTTGCTAAATCCCTATTTCCCATTTTAAATTGCAGTGTCAAAGTTTTGGATGAATAAAGCTTAGCTTGGTCAGCTCATCTAAGAATACTTAGGCCTTCTTTCTCTTCGAACATGAGAATGGTGTCGTCTGCATATTCCAGATCGACAAGGTTTTAGTCACATGCTATTCAAACACCAGGGATCTGAGACCTTCCAACGTTCGTCTTATGATTTCATCGATCACCAAGTTGAATAGGACTAAAGAGAGGGCATCTCTGACGGACACTGCTTTGTGTGTGGAAGCTTTTGGAGAGCTCGCCGTATGGTCTCTTACGTCCGGAAGTCTGGGAATAGAAACAGCTTATTATGTTCACCAACTTCCGGAGCATTCCTTGATGGGCAAGCGTGTCAAGCAGAACAGACCGGTCAACCGAGTCAAAAGCGCCTTGGAAATCCAGGAACACTAGAATTGTGGGTCACTTGTACGTATGGCGTTGTTCTAGCATCTGACGAAGTGTGAAGATTTGGTCAACGCAACCCCCCAACAGGCCAAAAGCCCGCTTGTTGCTCTCGACTCAGTGTCTCACGAGCCACCGTAAGGCGAAGAGGCATAGGTGACGCCAACAGTCTCGTTACGACCGGGATCAAGCTGATCCCCCTGTGCTTGCCACACTCACTACGAGCCCCTGGTTTTGAAAATGGACACTATCACCGACTCTCCCCAGTTTTTCGGGACAGACCCCTTTTCCCAAATGCAAGGAAACAAGTCAGGCAAGCGTCGAATGAGGACTTCACCCCCATCTTTGAACAACGCGGGTGGGAGGTCATCCGGACTAGAGGATTGGTGGCGCTTGAGAGAAAATATGCAGTCATACACCTCCGAGGCCGTAGGCGGTTCCACGTTCACCGTCCAGGGTTCCACGTCACCTGTGGGTTCCAGATGGGTGTCCACTGGTGGCCATGACAATTGTTGTTCTAAGTATTCGGTCCAACGTTTGAGGCGTCCTTGTTTATTTGAGATAGCCACTTTATTCCGATCATTGATGGCTTCATTCGCAGGTGGTTTCCGAGGCCCCGTCGCACGGGTCAACTGAAATAATCTTCTGGCATTACCGGCTTTCTGGGCCTCTTCCATTTCCTTGGCTTTGTGTGTCCACCACACTTCACGGTCAGCTTGCACGCTCACCTTCACTTGACGTCTGATAATTCGTCGCATCAAGTTATGTTCCGGGCTGGTTGGGATATTCCTCTGAGATTTAAGCAGTGCCACCGTTCGGTCTGATATCCACAGCTTAAGAGCGCCTGGTGGTGCCGTGCCACAGGCAAAACTCCCAGCACTATGCAAAGAGGTGGCAATCTCGTCCCAGTATGAGTTTACATCTGATGGTGGAGCACTTGGAGGAGACTCTAGAAAACGATTCTTGTAAGTTCGTCTGACATCCGGATCTGCCAGTCTCTTTCAGTTGCCATGCGATTTGTCCGCACCTTACGCGGCCCCGGGAAACGTAGGGCGAAGAGACTCCGGACGAGCGCGTGGTCAGAGTCCACAAATGTGTTCCAAAACGACCGGCAGTCAGTTATGGATCCGCGCCATCGGTAACTGATGGCAATGTGGTCGATTTGAATTTGTGGCCGGCCTGTTGTTGGAGGACACCAAGTGGCCAGACGACTTCGGCTACTTCGGAAGTTCGTACTGCATAAAAACAGCCTGCGATCAGCACACAGCTGAAGCAATCGTTCTCCATTGTCCGTACGTACCGAGTCCAGTCCATGTCGACCTCCCAATTGAGTCTCAGATGCACTAAGCCTGTCTACTTGCGCATTCATATCACCGGCAACCGCCACAATGTCTGAGCTTTTAGCTCGCCGCAATAGGGCATCCAGGGCGTCATAAAACCTGTCTTTGACGCCGTCCGGGCTACAGCCGGTTGGGGCGTAGACAGACACGACAAACAGACATCTGTCAACTTTCCGCTTATGAGACTCCTTCACAGACGCTGCCAGACAAACCGCGCAGAGGCGACTACCAATAGGTATGTAGTCAAGTAAGGATACTTCCTCCCGGTAACTTATGACGATACCAAGCCCTGCATATCCCACTGCAGCAGCCTCTGGATCACCAGAGGTGCGTAGCCGGAAGCGAGTGAAGACGGATGAGGCAATTTTAGCTCAATCACTGTACTTGCATCCTGAATTCTTGTTTCTGAGACAGCACACATCAATGCCAAGCGAGTTCAGCATGAGAGCAAGGGCAGCTCGTTGACCTGCTTGCTTCAGAGTGCGCACATTGAAGGTGGCCATATGGACAGGGTGTCGATGCTTGAAGATTGATTTGAAGTTACCTGACGATGTCGGTGCCATGTGACGAGCAGATGTTGTACGTAAAAGCGACACAGCAAACGGAGTTATCAGTCCTAAGTGCTGGGCCTACAAGAGGAAGGTTATTAATGGGGTGAGGAGAGGAGAAAGAAAAAGTATGTGAAAAGGAAAGAAGGAAGTCGTCAGCAGTAGTCTGTTTTCGCTTACCCGCCCTGCTGTATGCAGTAGGGCGACCCGGCTGATGGCACCACGCGACGACCAATGTGGCAGAGTTTATTCGTGTGCAGTTCATGGTTGTACGTGGGATGGGATACTGTCAGGGCACCCACACCTAGACAGGAGGACATTAGGGTCCTCAACCAAAGCCTTTGGCTCAAAAGCCTGACCGCAAGGCAGCGGTGTTTGGCGGGGGTTGCAAATGCATTATCATTTTCCAACCCCCAACCTGGAGGACCAGGAGACTGCGTTCGTCAGACATCCAGCCACTGACCGACCTGATATGAGAGACTCTGTGAGCGTTGCGGGGATACCCCTCAGTATAGATCAATAGGTCGATGAGGTGCGCAAACCGCGGTTAGGACCAGGTCAAGGTTGAATGCGTCATCGACACCGCCTTCTTCCGTCTGAGCAAACGGGAAGTAGTCTTTGCCCTCACAGGTCTTCTGCCCACACGTTCCCCATCCAACTCCTGACTCATTTAGCTGCTAACGACCTAAACGTTATTCCCAATTTCTGTCCACTAAAATGCGATCGTTCAGCTTTAACAGCCTTTTGGTGCTTAGCTACCATGCCAACCGAAGGGAACACGAGGACTGGGATACTGCTCAAGTCTGGACAGGGGAAGACGAGATGCAGAGGAAGATTCGACCACGAACATTCCGGTCAGTAAATCCGCGCTCTAACCACTGGGCCATCTCGCTCACTAAAATTCGACCACAACATTCCGGTCAGTAAATCCGCGCTCTAACCACTGGGCCATCTCGCTCACTAAAATAAATTAAAATGAACCGTTATTAAATTCAATGGATTTGTCCGCGTTTCTTATACGCTCGTACTCTGTCGAATTGGGGAACAGGAGTCCTCTATTCAGACCCTGTCCCCTCTTCCTAATTATGTATCTTGTCTACGAAACACCTATGCAAGACCTTCGACCGGTCATACATCTAAGACCGCGTGGGACGAACCCAGATTTATCTCACTTTACTCTCCAGATATCTGGTGACTCTGATTCAATGGCTTGAGTTAGCTACGAAGCTCCTTGAATCATTCTTCCTTGAATCTCTTGAATCATTCTCCTATCATAATTAACCCGAATAATTCTGCTGCGCGATTCGGTGTGTGAATCACGCCTCTAAAGTATAAAAGGCTGCACCAAGATTGGGCGGGATCGAATTCAAACATCACGCATACAGATAAATTGGACTGGCGAAGGATGAGATCACTTCCAGAACTGATAAGGCCGAGTGCGTTTGCTGACCCAAGACATTTGTGGCACCGTGACATCCGGCTGACTGTCACTGGTAGTGTGTACAATGCCTCGGTTCGGGCTGCCCTACCGATGAGCGTGGAAGATCATGAACTTTGTATATAATAGGACCCTTTATCTCGTACAGACTTCTACGCCCAGCCTTGTATCGGAAGAATCCGACCCAATAGATGTGAGTCGAGGCCATTCTATGTGAGATAAAGGAGCGTGAAAGCCATTACCAATCAACTCAGACGCGTTAGTAGCTGCTGTATCCCCGGGTGGAGATCACGGGGAAAAAACCACAGTGACCCTAACAGATATGGCTGTCAGGCAGCCAGTGGCGGTCTCGCATTCGCTTTCACTGTGCAACTCTCACTATGTAACATACCGGACAGCCAGAACCATTCAACGTCAATGCAGTGATTGGGCTTCAATGCCCAACTCAGAATGGCGGAAGTAGAGAGGTGGCCAATCCCTGACCTGGAACAGGGGTATGAAAGAAATCATGAAATGTTTGGGTGCTGTCGGTGCTAGTCGCCTTCCAGGATGGATACGCGTGATCCTCACTGTACCTGGTTAGAGACGCTGCAAGATATGGATACCAACCGATGTCAGTGGCTGTCTTGTTAACAGTTTCTATCCAGATAGCCTGAATGAGTGTTTGGAGTTGTAGGCACCTCGGAATGATGTAGTAAGCCAGCACTAAATCTCTTCCCCGTCCGCCTTTATTCCTTTCTTCACAATAAAGTTTTCAATTAAATCGTGATTGTACAGCAGCACAGCATCGGTGTTGAACACTGACGTCATGCTCTCCATAATGAGGATGGTGATGACGATGCAATGATTGGGCATATATTGTGAAGTATATGCGATGATATTATGATAAACAGATTATTGCTGAGGAATCAGCTCATGCATCATCATCATTGTCAGCTGTAATAACCGCGTACTCGTCGTACAGTGGTTGCAGCTGCCGCAGTTTCGTTCACCGATGATTTGGGAGAAAGGGTAGGTAGCTGCGTATTGCAGGCGCAAACTGGTAAGTTGGTGCATAAATCCACCACGGGTAGGTAGTGCGTATTGCAGGCGCAAACTGGTAAGTTGGTGCATAAATCGAGCACTGTCAGTGGGCTGTCAAGTGAGGGGGGTGGAAAAAGAGCTATGCATTGAAGGCAATAGCTTTGATGCACGAGCGTCATTGAGGGCGCGACTGGGCCATGTCTGACAATCTCTCCAGCCATTGATGTGGCTCGTCTCTGGGTCCCTATCCAGGAAAACGACAATTACCAGCGCAGCTGAGTTTGCTGGTAATGGCTTTCACACTTCGCTGCCAAGTAATTGTTTGACCGTCTCTGGCTCTCTTCCACCCTTCACGTGGTTGGGCGAAAAGAGCCCTTCGAGGAAGTCGGTCGACTGGCATACGTAACACGTGGCCAAGCCAGCGCAACCTGTGCAGTGTGATTAGTTCATCTATGGAGGGCGAGTTGTTTCTCCCGAATACCATTCGACGTACTTCAGAATTGCTGATCCGGTGTTCCCACCAGATTCGGGCAATGCTCCAAAGACATCGATGGTCAAACACTGAAAGTCTTTTGACGTCCTCGGCGCGCAGCGGCCAGGTTTCTGATCCGTATAGTAATATGGAGCGCACC